GAAATCGTGTCAATGGGGGCGTAAAACACACATTTTTTAAAGAAAGAACTACCCGGTATCTGTTCTTGGTTTAACACAATTTTTCTGTATTCAGCTACTCAAGTGAAACTTCCCTAGGAAAAGTGCCTGTGATTCTATTGTATGCCTTTGTCGTATTGCGGGTCACATTTGGCAGATTCAGTACATCACTGGATTTTTTCTTTGGTTGTTGTTGTTGTTTTTTTGTTTGTTGTTTTTTTTCGAGAAAGTTTGATTTATTGTGAAACTAATCATTTTTAACGTCAAGTTTCTCAAAACTAGGTACTGAGCAGATTGAACTTTGTAACTCTTTGTTTTTTTGTTGTTTTTGTAAAGTGTTTTACGGCGCTCGCAACTGCATAAGGTCATATGAGCGCGCGGGACACACCTAATATTTTCAGTTGGTAGGAAAAATTTTGAATTTTGCCCGGGTGGCGGCCGAAGCCTACTCTTATCAATTTTAGACCACCAAGGGATCTTTAACGTGCGCAACTTGCACCCGGGCCCTCCGAGATTTTTCGCCCTTGTCCGAGAAGGCTAGGTGTAAATCTTTCCTACCAGAAGATCAGGGGTGTGGCAGAATGACAGCAGTAAGGAGGAGCCAAGGAGTAGCAGTAGAAAGGCTGCAGAAAGAGTCAGGAGCCTAGAGGAGGGGGCAAAGGAGGTGAGGGGGTGGGGGCAGTACGTGGAAATGAAAGCAGACAACAGAACATTGCTAGAGAGCAGGAAAGGAGGTGAAAGGAGACAAATTTAGAGAAGAAAACTTTTCGGTCGCTACCCGGATTCGAACCCGGGACCTTTGAATGAGAAGCCAACACCTTAACCTCTAGGCCACGAGAGCCCCCTTTTGTAACTCTAGAGTAGCAATTTGACTCTGGTGGAGGTGGCCCCCCATTTAATCCAGTTTTGAATTACAGTGAAGAGAATTCCACTGCGTTTTTGGAGGGAACTAAACCACTTATATAATAGTTCACCGTTCTCCGAAAATCGTTGGTGTTGTTTTTGTTTGTTTCTTCTGAGAAAATGGGAAAAACCAGGAGATCTCTATTGACACACTACTGGATGACACACGACAGGGCACAGCATCCACAAACAGATTTACACAAAATAAAGTTTTACAAAAATACCGCTGGTCTCTCATTCATACACCCAAGTGTAGAACGTTATTATAAGAGCGTTGGTGTGGTTTCTAAAAAGCGGGGAAGATTTGTAAAGGCGTAAAATACATAATAAATATAATTGTTTCTCCTTGGCGGATGATCCCCTATCGCGAGAGATTCTTTAAAAGTTCCCCGGCAACATTCGAGGAATATTGTATGTATCTAGGCGTACAGCGTACATTTCTCAAGGAAACGACGTTTGGACGAAACGACTCTTTGTGTGGCTTACGCGTCCCAAGGAAACACCTTTATGGATAATGGGGAACGGGCTCAATTGGGACGTAACTTGAATGTGAAATGCTTTTTGCCTAACGTTTAACATAAATGATTTAGAACATTTGGAACGTTCGGTGTTACAAAACTCGCCACTCTGTCTGCACTTCCTAAGAAAAAGTCCTTATGACGAATTCAGTATAAGATCTGACTCTCTGAATAGAAGCATGGTTAATGAGCTTAAGAATTGGCTCAACTGAGACGTGATTTGATTGTTAGTGACATTGACATAGTCTATAGTGGCATACTGACGCCACATAGACATAGTGACTTAGCGACATAGTGACGCCACATAGACATACTGTAAATTATTTAGGAGGCGGGCAGCTTCAATCTTGCCTGTCGTACTATGGCCAACCCGGGCTGAATGGGATCGGAGACATCTCCGGTGGGATACAGTAGCCCACTAGAAAAACGATGAAGCTCGGTGGACTAGACCTCCCTCTGCTGCAGGTTTCCAACTTGCGTTTTATTACATTGTTTTAACATTAATTATTAGGAGGGGGATGTTGTGTTTGTATTTGTTGTTGTTGTTGTTTCTTTGTTTGTTCAATTGTTTGTTTGGGTGTTTTTTTCGTGCGACAATGAAGAACCCAACCCTTCCCTCACTGGCGCCGGTGTGTCTAGAGGAGGAGCCACGGTGATCGAAGAATCGATGTGATGTTTAATTTGTTTTGCTTGTTGAGCACAGGGCTGTATTGTTCTGTGATTCTGACATGTCCATACGTCCGCCCGTACCTCTGTCATCTGTAGCACTCATAGAATTGTCGTATAATTATATCCCAAACCGTGCACCCTGAGTTGTTTCCGGTTCACTATAGGAGGCCTATTTGACGCCATCAGAGCCAGAGGAATGGAATACAGGAATAATTATATTGCTCAATTTCAGTAGAGTGTAAATGTGAGGCGTGCTGACAGAATGAGTTACTTCTCACAATCCACAAATTTAATGCAGATATTGGCAAAAAATCGACTCTGGCTACAAATTTCTAGGTTTTCTATTGAAGCAATATTCATTGGGTACTAAATGCCATTTGCTATTTCATACTTACAAATTGTAAAAACTTAACCTATAAGCATGCTAATGTATCTATTTTCATAGGGCTCAAATCCGAGAAGTAAGTCATTTTGTCAGCACGCTTCACAAATGATATAGTAAACCAGTGACTTTCAGTTTATGTTAATGCACCGATCATTCCTTTCTTCGGAAGGGTGCCCAGCTAGTAATATTATAGTATAGGTGATGCGCGCACTCCACTATAGCGAGACTGGACGTGTTTTGTCCTCTGTTCGGACGTAACGACACGATCCATGGTGCGTTAGCTTAACTAGAAGTTTTAGTACAAAGCAAAGAGCAGCTGCCATGACAGTACACGTTAGGCTACCGGACTTTTAATCGTGAGATTGCGGGTTCGGGAGTTCGAGCCTCAGCTCGGTCCGACGTTGTGTCCTTGGGAAAGGCACTTTACACGAACTTACCACCTGGCTCGGTCCTATCGGAGACGGACTTTAAACTAGGAGGTCCTGCCCCTTATATAGCCTAATAGTGTTGATAGGGGCGTTGAACCCATACCATTTCTCCATTTTTCACTGTGTAGGAGTGTAGGAGTATAAGTCTATGACCGTGGAACACATTGATCATAATGGACATAACATATTATGAGATAGCTTTTCTAAGCAACTTTACTGTGAAGTTTTTTTGGTTTTTTAAAATAGAGAGTTTGATGAGCAGTGGACATGACAGTGAACGGTCCAGGAGTATAAGTCTATGAATATGGAACACATTTTTTTCCATTGAACAAACAATGAGACAGCTTTTCTAAGTAATTTAACGGTGACGTGTTTCTAGAGAGCTTGTTGAGCACAGGACACACAGGACAATACAAGAAGTCTTTGGCCAGGTAGGCTATTGTTTTGCCAGACTATGAGCGCCATACCGACCCCTAGTGGCCCAGTGAGATGTGCAAACAGATCAATACATCGATATCGAAAGGAAGCAGGCAATCGATGACGCCATCCGGTCTGTCCCAGGCGGTGTCCGGTGGCGGGAGATTGTGGACTGACGTCTGCGGTGGAGCGGTTTGACGCTTCGTCGTCCCTCGAGCTGCTGGCATTTTGAAAAAATAATACAGTATATTATGCTGTTTTCACAATTTTGCAGGAGAGCCACCCCCCCCCCTCCAAAAACCCCCCGACAAAAAACAACAACAACAAAACAACAACAACAGCAACAACAACAACAACAACAACACCCCCCTCCTCCCAAAAAATAATTTAAAAAAAAGAATGTTATTACCAATCAAACAACATTAGATCTAATTGCTTTAAAGATAATAAGGAGGTCAATATAAAAATTAATTGTCTTCTTGAAATATTGACTTGGGATGTTTGCAAAAAGTTTGTTTTCTTTGAAACAAAATATTCAGTATTTTTAAAGTTCTCCTCTAAAATTGTAAAAACAACAACAACAAACAACCAACAACCCCCTGCAAAATTATTAGATCTAGATCTGTGTATTTTTAAAAAAATATTGGCCGCGCAAAGGTCCTGACTACGATTCCCAAGTGCGGAGAATTTTTATCGAGTTAATCTCCGTCTCTCTGCAGGACGTTGTACATGTATTCCTTTCAGCTCGGGTTACCCCTGACGGGCTTGTTGGCTAATGTCGGAACTTGAACCGCCGTTGTTACATCCTCATTCTGTCACGTCACCTGTCTATTATAGCTTGACTGACATCACTCGACCACGAGGTGGGTGGGTGGGTGGTTGGAGGGTGCCACTGGTAGATCTGTATTCTTCCTTTGTCAGTCTCACGACTTCTCCCCTGCACTGCATGGAAGTTGTCATATACGTTATTCTCCTCTTTTCTAACTAACAAAATCTAAACTCTACTTTGTAGGTACTAGGCGGGTGCTCTGGTGTGGTTTACTTCTTCTTTCCTATCAAACATCTATCGTCTTTATCTCCCCACTTTCTTTTTTGTGTTTGTTACTCCCTTGTAACACCTCTAATCTTCGGCACTTATATGACCTTATTGTGTTGCAAGTGCCGTAACACACTTACTAAAACTTAAAAAAAACCCCTCAGCTTTCTGACCTTTTCAACGAAATCCCGTGTTCTGCGTTCGAAATTTTGACATGTATCTTTTTTTTTTTTAAAACCTTTAGTGAGATATTATAATGTTATAACCAACGGTCACTCAAAGGGACCACCCCCC